CATATAAAGAAATATGAAATTAATGAAATACAAGAAAAATAACAAAAGAAAAATACAAGAAACAAAAGCTGATCTTTTTAAAAAGAAACAATTAAATAGATAAGTCTCTGTTAGCCTGATTACAAAGAAAAGAGAAAATGCAAAAATATAGACTATTAGGAAAAAACTACTCATACAGGGGAGAGTAAAAGAATGAATAGAAGGTCAGGCATGGCGGCGCATGCCTGTAATCCCCACGCTTTGGGAGACCAAGGCAAGAGGATCACGTGAGTCCAGGAGTTCAAGACCAGCCTGGTCAATATGGCAAAACCTTGTCTCTACAATAAATACAAGGCCAGGTGCCAGGTGCAGTGGTTTATGCCTGTAATCCCAGCAATTCAGTATGCCCAAGTGGGAGGATTGCTTGAGCCCAGGAGTGCCAGGCTACAGTGAGCTGTGATGGCACCCTGCACTCCACCCTAGGCAACAGACTGAGACCCTGTCTCAAAAAAACAAAATGGAGACTAGAAATGAACCATAAATTATAGTGCATTTATACTATACAATATTGAGTAACCACTTAAAAAGCATTGGTTTAAAACAATGACCAAGAGATCTATCTATTACTTAATGTTAAGTGAGAACTATAAGACATGGAATAATGTATGAAATTTGTCCTCATTTTTCTTTCTTTCTTTTTTTTTTTTTTTTTACTGAGTCTTGCTCTGTCACCTAGGCTGGAGTGCAGCAGTGCAATCTTGGTTCACTGCAACCTCTGCCTCCCGGATTCAAGTGAATCTTCTGCCTCAGCTTCCGAGTAGCCAGGACTACAAAAGCGTGCCACCATGCCCGGCAAATTTTTGTATTTTTAGTAGAGATGGGGTTTCACCATATTGGCCAGGCTGGTCTTGAACTCCTGACCTCGTGATCCACCCTCCTTGGCCTCCCAAAGTGCTGAGATTACAGGCATGAGCCACTGCGCCCAGCCTTGTCTCCATTTTTGTAAAAACAAGCAGGTACTTCAAAATCCATAAATACAGGAGTATAAGCAGAGGGAAATTTTCCAAAAAAGAACACTAGGATCACCTGAAGGGTGTGGGGAAAACTCTTTCCATTGTCTCCAATGTGTTAACTGACTACAATGAATATCATTTTGTAACTGTCAAATAATTTTATTAAAAGATACAAGCAAACATATTAAAAGTACTCTTATGTTTATGCAAACACTAAATCAGGGTACATCAGCCCAGTCTGCCCAGGTTTAGGGAAGCAGCCCAGGACTCAAGGCCTTTGTCCACACACTCAGCAACTGCCAGGCCTTCCCTAGAGCAATCCAGCCACCCTGGAGGCGGCATCCCTTCCAACCTGAATGCTGCTCTTCCTGGAAAAACATTCCTGGTGGTTTGTTTAATGAGTAAATGTCTTAAGGGTTTATTATATTTTAAAAGTATTCTATTTCCTTCTAAATCTTAGATCAGGCCTTCCTTTTCTTTTCTCATTCTCTGCAGAGAAACTTCTAATTCCTTCTCACAAGACACAGGCGGTGTTGTTCACCATTTTAAAAAGAGAAGGTGGCCTATTTTCAGGGAGTAAGGTTCCATTCCAAGGTAATTGTTTTAGCAAAATTGCACCTTCACAATCACAAGCATTTTCCTTCCACTTTACCTGGAGGACCAGAACCGCCCCTCAGCACCCCTCCCCTTCTGACACAAACTCCCTGGTTTAAAGTTAAAGTTGGTGGATTAACACATGTGTCCTGAATATGTGTTAACTCCCATAACAAAAACCCCAGGCCAAATCAGGTCCATAAAAACTTTCCAGTTATTCATTGTTTTCATACAGAGTCCAGCACAAAGCATGTGAGCCACTAATGAATGTTCTTCAGCGCCGGCTGAAGATAGACATTTTGGTGTTCAGGGTAAACAGTCCCCAAGAACCCTCAGGACCACACAGGTAAGTGGAGTAGGGAGTGAGGGGAGTTTCTAGTTTGTCATCTCCTCCTCTGCCAAACAGTTTGGTCCCACAGAGCAAGCCCTGCCACCAACGTCTGAGAGAGATGAAAGGGGAAGGGTTTCGGAGAATGCAGGGCAATGATGAGCCTTTGCAAGCTTTTATTTTATTTTATTTTGAAATGGAGTCTCACTCTGTTGCCCAGGCCGAAGTGAAGTGGTGTACAGCTTACTGCAGCCTCTGCTCCTGGGTTCAAGCAATTCTCCTGCCTCAGCCTCCCAAGCAGCTGGGATTACAGGCATGTGCCACCATGCCTGGCTAATTTTTTTGTATTTAGTAGAGATAGAGTTTTACCATGTTGGTCAGGGTGGTCTCGAACCCTTGACCTCAGGTGATCCACCCGCCTTGGCCTCCCAAAATGCTGGGATTACAGGCGTAAGCAACTGCTCCTGGCCTGCAAACTTTTAAAATCGTTACTTTAGGTGTTTATATCTCCTTAATTTTGATGTTCTAGGGAAGGGTTTGACAAACTTTGGTTCGCTGGCTAAATCCTACTGCTGATTATTTTGGCAAATAAAGTTGTACTGGGACATAGCCATACCCATTTTTTTTTTAATGCTGTTTATCTGGTTACATTCACGCTATAATGGCAGGATTGAATAGTTGTGACAAAGTCATGTGACCCACAAAACCCAAAATATTTATGATCTGGCCCTTTACAGAAGTTTGCTGACCCCTGCTCAGGGGTAAAATCAGGGAATGTGTTCCGACAATTACTAAAAATAAATGAATGCATGCATGCCCTGGGATGATGGGTAAGAGAGATAATAAGAACCAGGAATAGGGAGCCTCAAAACCTCAACTACACCTTAGAAGAAGAAATATTTCAAATTAACAACCTAACCTGTCACCTTAAGAAACTAGGGAAAGATAAGCAAAGTGAACCCAAGCAAGCAGAAAGAAGGAATCAATAAAGGTCAGAGCAGAAATGAATGAGGGACCAGAAAAACAATAGAGAAAATCAACAAAGCCAATAATTAGTTCTTTGCAGACAAACCTTTATCTAGGCTGACCAAGAAAAAAGAAAGAGAAGACATTATTTAAATTAGGAATGAAAGGGGAGACATTACCACCAACCTTACACAAATAAAAAGGATTACATGAAAAATCTATAGACAATTAATATGCCAATACATTAGATAACCTACATGAAATGGGTAAATTCCTAGAAAGATACAAGCTGTCAAAACTGACTCAAGAAGAAGTAGAAAATCAGAATATGCCTATATAAGTAAAGGGATTCGATAAGTAACCAAAAACCTTTCTACCATGAAAAAGAAAACAAAACCCAGGACCAGATGGCTTCATGGCAAAATTCTACCATATGTTTAAAGAATTAACACCAATCCTTCACAAACTCCTCCAAAAAATGGAGGAGGGAACACTTCCAACTCGCTCTATGAGGCCAGAATTAGTCTGACACCAACACCAGACATAGAATCAGAAGAAAACTGCAGCCCAATATCCCTCATGAATATATACACAAAAATCCTCCACAAAATGCTAACAAACCAAATACAGCAATTTATAAGAAAAAGGATTACACGGTAATCACACCCCGATCAGGGATTCCCGGCCTGGGCCAGTCACAAACAAAGCACAGGCACTCCAGAGACAAGGACCAGGGGGACTCTATGTTTCAGACCAAGGCCCAAGTGGAAAGAAGGCGAAACAGCTGGGATGCTGGTGCACTGGCATCTCAGGCTGTGGCTGCCAGCACTTAGAAAACATCTTACTTGTGAGCATCTTTTTTTCCAAATCAGCCCACATAAGGGGGACTCTCAGCAGCCCGGCTCCCTCTCATTGTCCAGGAATGTTCATGCCAGTGTCCAACCATGGCATCTGCTTCTAGAGGCTCACTTGGTGTCTTCCCCAAGAGGGGGAAAACAGGACTTTGCCTACCTTGCAGCCTAGTTGGCTATAAAAAAGCAGAGAAGTAAAAAAAAAAAAAAAAAATCTATATACCAAATCCCCAGGGTAATAAAATAAACTGGCCATTTATTACTCCCCTCTCAAACTACTATACTTAACGACCTTTCTGCAGTCAAGGCTAGTGCTTTTTAAGGGAGCTGAGGCCATCCATCTGCCCTCCCTGCACTGTCCTAGACACACGCGCACCCCACCGCCCACACGTGCACACACGCAGCTCTGTGCCGTTTGAGAATCAGATGTATTTATGCTGTAACACCCTGCTCCTGCTGCCTAAAAATAAAAGAAACAAAACCAATGCTTTCTCTGGGAGGTTCTTGCACACTCTTACTTAGACAAATTCTTTTCTTTAAACTGTTTTTTCAACCACCCACCACCACTTGCATTCTCATAAAAGCCTTTTTCAATCCAAGAAATGCTGACAAAGAACTGCTTCTTAATGTCTGTACTTTGTTCCCTCAGCATTAAGTCAGCATGCCTGTGTTTTAGCTAAAAAAGCCTTAGGGTTTCCCCTTGCTCGCTCGTTGTGGAAGTGACTTCGTCCACTCTGCTGAAGCAGCCTCCTCATTAACATTCTCCCTCTCAGACAGGGCGTCCGCCCGAGGGGCTGTCGGCCTCCCTGTGACGGCCACCCAAGCTACCAAACGTGCCTGGGAGCTCCAGCTCATTTGAGAAGTGCCTGCTTCTAGGAAAGCCCTTTTGGCACAGCCAAATACCCCTCATCAGTAAAAAAGCACCCCCGGTCCCAGGCCGCCCAGCTGCCACCTGGGCTCCAGCCACTGTCATGCATGCCGGTCCCTAGATTGAACAGCAAGAATATGCTGGCCAGGACCGGCCCTGCTGGCCACATCAGGCATCCAGGAGGCAGGAGCAACGGAGGGAAAAGAGTGCGAGACTAAGGGGTCAGGCCCTGGGTGGTGGCTTGGCTCTCTACTGAGAGAGACTTCAGAGCCCCAGCCTGCTCATCTGTCACATGGGGCAACCGTCCCCACCCTACCCTCTCACCGGGTCAAGTGAGGAAATGGACAAGAAGAAAGTGGCAGACAGCCAGGCAGGGGAAGCATCCCGGGCGCAGGCCTCACCTGTCCAAACACATAGAGCAGCCCGATGGTGCCTCCCGTCTGCCCACCCAGGACCGAGGAGATCATGGAGTAGACGCCGCCACTGCCGATGCTGCTGCGCTCCCCGACACCAATGCCAGACAGCACCGTGACGAGGGCCACCAGGATGACGAAGGACACCAGAAACATGCCCAGGAGCACTCCCGTGTTTCCCTGCAGTAGAATAGCAAGGAGCAAGGCCGGGTTAGGTGAGGAGACCCCGTCAGCTCCCTGCTGGGAGCACTGACTACCTCCCCTCCTCCCACAGCACTGGAATGGCACAGAGGCAGGACAACTAAAAAGGTCAAAGCAAGCACCACAAAATCCATGGCTAGGAAGAAGTTCTAAGTGAAGGGGAACGTCCTGGTCGCAAACTCTTCCATGGCTCCCATGCCTAGAGTGTAACAGTCAGAGCTGCTGATGCCCTCATGAGGCGCCTCCTAATCTCGCTCTGTGCCCAGCATGCAGCAACAAGAGCTCTCCCCACCCCACCCTTCCCCACGCTGATTCCCCAGCCTGAAAGTCATCTCCTGCTCATTCTGCATCTTTGCCAGGTTAACTCCAGCGTATCCTTTAGGCCTCAGTGTTCAGGATTTCCTCGCCAGGAAGCTAGCCCTGTAACCGTTTCTCTGGGCTCCTCCAGTGCCAGGGCTTGGAACTTTCCACAGGACTTGTCATATTGAATGTTTCCAAGCCAGTTTCTACCAGTCGGCTGTGAGCTCCAGGCGAGGATATGGTTTAGATGTTTGGATTTGGATCCCCTCCAAATCTCATGTTGAAATGTGATTCCCAATGTTGGAGGTGGGGCCTGGTGGGAGGTGTTTGGATCATGGGGACGGACCCCTTGCAAATGGCTTGGTGTCCTCCCACAGTAACGGGTGAGTTCTCAGTCTGTTCTTTCACAGGAGAGCTGGTTGTTTAAACAAGCCCAGCATCTCTCTTGCCTTCCTTCTCCCTATGTGGTGTGCCTGTTCCCTCTTCACCTTTCCCCATGAGTGAAAGCTTCCTGAGGCCTCACCAGATGCGGATGGTGGTGCCATGTTTCTTGTACAGCCTGCAAAACTGTGAGCCAAATAAACCTCCTTTCTTTATAAATTACTGAGCCTCAGGTATTCCTTTATAGAAACGCAACATGGACTAATATGGAGCAGGATCATGTTTTCTTCCACTTCATATTCTCAGTGCTTAGCATAACCTCCACAAAATAGGTGCTCATTAAATGCTTGTTGAGTGAATAAACAAACACATGCATGCCTGGAGATGAACACATGTAGATAGACACATTTCAATGTGAAAGCAAGAGTCCCAGAGAGGAAATGGACATTGCACATCTAAGAAGGAGATGTAACGTCACATGTTTTGCAGTAGAAAGCAAGGAAGACCCCTGATAGGCAACACCCCGTGCATTGCAGGTGCTGGAGAGAGAACTAGGAGTGGGCAGAGCTAGTGCAAGAGCTGGGTGGCCTAACACGAGCTGGAAAATTGTCCTGGAAGTCAGTGGTGCTCTGTTCCGGCGTTCATAATATGATGCCCGGGGGCTCCACCGCTGGTCTGAAACCCACCCTGCCTGTGGCTAAGGCTGAACCCTGAGCTTAGGATCTGCATATGGAGGAGAATGAGAGTTTAGGAAGGTCTGACCTTGCCCAGGCTTCTTATGGGGGCTAAGAATCCTGTGTATCTCACTATAAAGGAGCTTAAATCTCCCGGAATTTGCCCACGTAATGGTTAATTTTATGTGTCAACGTGGCTAGACTGTGGCAACCAATTGTTTAGTCAAACACTAGTCTAAATGTTGCTGTAAAAGTGTTTTTCAGATGTGATTAATATTTACAATCAGTTGTCCTTAAGTAAAGGAGATTACTCTGCCTTGTATGGGTGGGCTTCATCTAATCAGCTGAAGGCCTTATGAGCAAAGACTGGTTTCTTAAAGAAGGAGGAATTCTGCCTCCAGGCTGCCACACGGAAATTATTCCTGAGTTTCCAGCCTTCAGACTCGAGGCTACAGCATCACTCCTTACCTGCTAATATATACCTCACATACTGACAGCTCCTGTTGGCATTGGCCTGTTTCTCTGGAGAATCCTGACTAGGAGATTCTACACCCTACATGGCCTCCTCACTTTCACCCATCTAGTCTAGCTCACCCTTCAAGGCCTGGCTCAACTGCATCTCCTCCAGGAAGCCTTCCTGGACACCTCAGTGACTGTAGCACTCATAGTTCGTTCCACCCCTGAGGGACTTAGTGCTGCTTTGAGACCTCTCCTAACATGACACCTACCCGCCATGGCTGTTAGCTCATGGTTGTGGGGAGGAGAGGAGGGGATGAGGGCCAGGGTCATGTCTTGTTTTTCATAATCCCCTTCGCACTAAATAGTGCTTGGCACACAGCAGGTGCTTACAATGTTTACATGGTGACTGGCTTGCCTTTTATTCGGAGCACCTGTGTGGACTACTGAAGTCCCACTGCATAAGATGGCAGTGTGTGTGAGACTGAGAACCCCTGCTCCAGACACACATCTGCTTGGCAGGTCCTAGGATGCTTTTGCATAAGACTTAAAGAAGAGGCCCTTTGTTCCTTCTACAGAGGGAGATGAACTGACGCCCAGGATCTCACACAGCAGAGTCCGTCCTAGGCAATCCATCCCTAGAGGCAGGCGGCCCACACCTCTGGCCAAGCAGCCCCACGCACAGTCTTACTCACAGGGTCGCAATGCAGTGAGGGAAGGCAACCATGTGGATGGGCCCAAGATGAGGTGAAGAATACCAGGAAAACTGCAGGGGGCCACAAACTGGAGGCAAAATTGCCATCAGTCTGATCTCTGACCCACCTTGAGTCCTGCCCACGATGAGCCCTGACTTCTGTCCTCCTATTCCATAGTTAAATCTGTGGTGTGAGGCTTCCATCAGAACTTCCGAAGCCTATGTTTGCAGGATGTTCATTTAACAAGCAATGCTAGCTATTAGCTGTGCTTCTTCTGTTTCGTTCTGGGAGCATCTGTGCTTCAGGAATCTGTGGCCTGCACTGCAGAATGCCAAGAGTGACAGAGCTTTCCTGTCTTGGGCCTGTGAGAGGCTCCAGACCACTAACTCAGCACTCACCACCAGCCAGCCAGTCCTCAGGAAGAGCACAACCCCAAAGATGTTGATCATGCAGGATGTGAACACACCATCCCAGGTCCCAAACAGCACGGGCTCCCACACGAACAGCGGGCTCCTCCACCAGGGCTGAGGCTGAGCCAGGGCCCCCTGCAAACAGAACACACAGAAGTCAGCTGAGGGGCCATTGGGAGGGCCAGGGACAGCATGGGAAGGGAGTGAGAGTGGAACAGAAGGCGGGAGGTAGGAGAACTCAGCTTAAAAACACTACTGTCTTATTGTGCCAGGGCAGGTGTGTGTGTATACACACACGCATGCATACAACACACATACACATGCACACACAGACACACACACACGCAGATACACACACACACGCACACATACACATACACACACACAGATACACACATACATGCACACACATACATACACATCTTGAAGCATACCTCTACAAAAAGATGACTGTTCTCTCCTAACAACAGTGACTCCGTGCCCATACGTAGCACAGACTCATTGTTCACAAGCCTAGTCCTTTTCCTCTGGTCACCACTCAGGTAGACTCCTAGCCTCTTTGCAGCTAGATGTGACTGTGTGACTGAGTTCTAACCCATGGAATGCAGGCAGAAGCAATAGATGACGCTTCTAAGTGAGTGTGAAATTCTTGGTTTCAACTCCTGGGGCTTGTGGTCATGAGCCCTCATCCTCCAGTCCTAGCAGGAACAGCAGTTTCCAGCAGTTACTAACCTTTGGCCAACCTTACTGGACACTCTCTGCTCCTTCAGCCCTTCTGATGCCTCTGATCAGCCCTTTGGATGAGATTTCCTGTTTAAAATGACTGGAGTCATTCCTGTTTTCCTGACTGAGCACTGATACAGAGATCTCTGCTGATAGCCCAGGATCCTACTGCATTCTTGGGCAATTGTTTGGAATCAGAGGCTAATAACACATAAACAGATTCCTTGCTCATTTTTCCAATTCACAAATAACAAAGGCACTTATAAACACTGAAATGGAAACATTTTACTGAAAAAAGCATAACTTTGTGGATACAATAAAATGATCTTAAACAAAACCAGTAGCAACTCACACTGTAAATGCTCTTATGCAGGTTTGGCAATTGATCTAAACTCAGGCGTGAACAAGTCTCCCAGTGCCCTCAAAAGATGACAGCAGAGTTTATGTTCCTGTGGGGGGGGGGGGGGGGGGGGAGAGGGAGGCACCCAAAACTAGGAGTCACCATGTGCAATGAATTTGGACCTGGTGAGCAAATGTTATCCATAAACACAGTAAGAAGGAGAAAAATCAGTTTAGGGGAAAATCTAAGATCCAGATTCCACAGGGCATGGCTCCTGAATGGCTGAGAACAATGGGTGCACCCAGAATCTAGGACCAAAGGCTGAAGCCAACAGCACGTGCTCAAAACCAAAAGGGAGGATCCCTGCTCCTCTTCCACCTACTGTATCGCATCCACAGATCAAGAAGGGGCCTCAGGAAATACTCAGGGATCTCAATTCAGCCACGTGAGACCGATGGGCCAGGGCACCCCTGGTGACCCCATCAGTCTCCAACTCCGTAATCTTCATTTATGCATGCACATGACTGCTTAGCTGTCCTTCACAAACCATAAATGAGCCGTCTCCTGGAAGTCAATAAATGTCAGAACAGTCCTCGTGGTTCAGAACAAAGACTCTGCCAATCTAGACTTGTCCTTGAGCAAATGGTACCAAGGGACCTGTGTGGTGAATGCAGGACTGGTTCCTAGGATCCTAATCTCGAAATTCAGGACAGTTCTCACCTTCCTGTCTCTGCCTGTGTTTCACTTCCTATCATGGCTTGTGACAGGCCTCCTGTTCCTCAATAATAGCAGTGACTTTCGGCAACAAAAGGACCGATGGTGTAGCGAGTGCCTTCAGCTTCCACAGAAGCCCTCTGCTCTGCGCCTCACAGCATCCCCGTGAGGCAGGCACGGAGGGCTGAGGAGGGCTGAGGAGGGCTGAGGAGACGGGACCGAGAGGAGAAATCTGACAGGCCAGCCTCACAGCTGGGGCCTTCCCCAGCACTTGTAAGATCTGTGCTTTTTCCCTGAACCATACTCACCTGAACGTTACTTGATCTTTTTGCCCCTAAATTTAGGTCTTTCAGGTTTCAAATTGTAACACTCTGGACCTTGTGTAACTGTGAATACCACTGTCTTAGCCATGAATGCCTTTGTAATGATAGAAACCTTATTCCTCTTTCATGCGCGCCTTCGTTCTCCCACTCTGAAGGCTGGTTTGTATATGCGTTTGTTTACCTGCTGCTGTATAAAATGTCTTTCATTTCCTTGATCTCACTGGACTAGTAAATCAGCCTCAAGGGTAGAAACTTAGAGCATGTAGAAACTTCAGGAAACCCTTTACCCTGAGAATGGAAATATAACTGGTTTAAAATGGGTTTGGTGACTGAGCACTCACAGCTTGTGTCAGGATATTTGGGGGCGTGTGCTTACCTTTTCTCACCACGTGACAAAAAACCATAACTAAGTCTTCCCACAGTCTGTTCATCAGAGCCTAGGTGGGAAGAGCCTAGGATTGACCCCAAGGGTGTAACCCTGTTGCTCTGGAGAAAGAGAGAGACACTGTGTAAGCCCAGCAAGAGAGAGAGAGCAGAAAGGAAAAGAAACCAAAACAGAGAGAAAAGGGAAGGGGATGAGATGGAAATCCCCAGAATAAAATGCCAAATAGAGCCCCTGAGGGATATTTCCCAGGTGCCACACTGCCTCCCAGGCATCCACATAGAAGTAGCAGCTTGGGGCCGGGTACAGTGGCTCACGGAGGCTCACGCCTATTATCCCAGCACTTTGGGAGGCCGAAGAGGGGTAGATCACTTGAGGCCAGGAGTTCGAGACCAGCCTGGCAAACATGGTGAAACCCTGTCTCTGCTAAAACATATAAAAATTAGCCAGGAGTGGTGACATGTGCCTGTAATCCCAGCTACTTGAGAGGCTGAGGCATAAGAACCGCTTGAACCTGAGAGGCAGAGGTTGCAGTGAGCTGAGATCGCACCACTGCACTCCAGGCTGGGCAACAGTGAGACCCTGTCTCAAAAAAAAAAAAAAAAAGCAGCAGCTTGTATGTCCTACTCTTCTCACAGGGCTGTCATCCAGCCTCACCACATGCGTGATGCCATTCAGACTTTAACTAGTCCGCAGAGCTTGCCTCTTGGGAGAGAACTGTCTGGGCAACTCAAAGCAGCTCCCCTGCATTGTGACTTTTGCAGGCGGTGGGGAGCTGCCTCCTCCCCCACCCAGCTCTGGCTCTGGCCTCTGTGCTCTCTCATTCTCTTCAGCTCCTGCTCTGACTGGCTGAGAGGCAGGGCCATGGTCTGCAATACAGGCAGGCATGCAACAGGGTGACAGCATGTCAGCTCCCCTCCACATACATGCAAAGTACTTGATGCTCCTGAGTCCTCATCCCCAACTCCTTCCCCTAAGGCAGAAGGAAGGAATCCCCTCACCCCAAACGTGCTCTCCCACAAAGTCCATGCTAAGATTCTCTGAGTGTCACCACCCAGTCATTTCTGTTGCCCAGGGAAGGTGGGAGTGGAAGGGCTGGGGTGATGGTTGCTGAAGGTTAGACCAGTTCTGAGCTTTCTTGTGAAATCCTGGGACAGAGGTCTGGTCCCAACTATGGGTAGCTCTCTTTAGGACCTAGTGTCCCAGATTTGGGCTCCAGTCATCGATTCCAGCATGACATGAATCGCATTCAACATCCTATTACACAGACATAATGGGTTGGGGAAATGGAATGTACCCAGCATCGGGTCTACTGCGAAGTAGAGATGGAGGATGGGGCAGGGATAAAAGAGCAAAGAGCGTATCAGTCCCTCAGAAAGGGCGGCATAAAACACGCCCAAGGGTAATAGTCCTCGCATCCCTGAAGACCCCCAGCCTGGCAGGGGCCAGCTTGACAGGTTCCAGGGGTGTAGAGACTTGGTGCCTGGCACAGGATGATCCCTTTGCCATACTCCTCACTGCCAGGGTCTTCCTTCCCAAGCCTCCAAGACAAAAATCCCTCTGAGCAGAGGGGCCTACACCCCACACTGGAAAAGCCATGACTGCCTGGTGGGTGTTTTTAATTCAGAAGGGGCAGTCATTCTCCTCTGAATAATCTCCATACTCGAGTGTGGGGGTCGGGTGGAGTGCTGTGGGGATCTAGAAAGACGAGGAAGTTGCACCTGAGTGGGAAATACTCTCAATCCTGTATCCAGCAAGCAGAGCTGAGTAAGAGCCTGGAAAGTTCTGCCAGAGGCAGTGACATGAGCTCAGGCCCTGAAGCCTTTTGCCTCAAACAGTCACCGGCTAAGTCTTCATGAACACATCTGCAACGTGAGATGACACCTTTCTCTTTTCTGGCAGCTGGAGGAAAAGCAACCAGGTGAGAAATTCTGCTTCTGTCCAATGCAGGTCAGGGGTAGGTCAAAGCAAGACCTGGGCTGCCCCTTTCTCCCAAAGTGCACCTGCAGGACTGGTTTCACCCAGATTACACATGCATGCAAACCAGCTGTTGGCTTCCTGAAAGTTAATTATTGGATAATTAATTAAACATTAGAGAATATGCCCAAGCTGCTGCTGAACTACATCCAATGGGAAGACTAAGGAGCCTCATTCCTTTCCCCTGCCTCAAACCCACCCTGTGTGCTGGACCACAGGGATTGAGACCCGGGCAGGGGCCAGCATGGCTGTGGGCTCCACAGGCCACAGCTCACATACAAGCTGCTACTTTTCTAAATATCATTCTTCACTTTAAGGGACCAGGGATCCTTGTGAAAGTTGCTAATTCAAGGCTGGGGCAGAGAAAGTACAAAATGAGTCTGGAATATCCTGTACCAGAAAATAGGGAAGTGCTAAAAAAAAAATGTCAAGGGTGTGTCAAAAGGACATAAGAGGTAGCTTAAAGGGGCTCCCACCAGCCAAATAAGTAAATAATAGCAATAGAATATTCAAGGAATAGAATAAGAATCTGAGTTCATACAGACATAAAGAAATAAATTAACTGATTTCATTCATTCTTTTTATCTTTGAGACAGGGTCTTGCTCTGTCATCCAGGTTGGAGTATGGTGGCATGATCACAGCTCACAGCAGCCTCAACTTCCTGGGCTGAAGCAA